TACTTGAAATTGTCTTCTAGCTCAGATACCAAATCTGGAGTATCAGTATGGTTTCTGTCAAGATAGCTTGAACTGCTCTTTCACAGATTTTGGACCTTATTTAATTTAACTTTTTTCATCTTTTTGTTACACTACGTCTAGAGTGGAAAGTAAAGACTATTCGACAACTTCCCGCCATTAACTCTGCATCGTTGTTGCACTGTTCTCCTTACATTGTTACTACTCGTTTTTGCCAAAAAATAAATCTTATTCGTTATGGTGCAAGCGATAACAGTCAGTTACCTATGACAACGAAATGAGAAATGTCAAAACATTTTTCTATTCTCCTCCCTTCTTGGAAGATGGCGACCATAATTAAAAGCGACAGTTTTCGTAAATGTATGTAGGAGTGTTTAAATAGAAAAAGAAAAGCGTATAATAGATAACTAACCAGAGTTTACTGAATATACACCCTGAAACAGAAACAACGGCTGAACATAATAACTAAAAAACAACGCACCAAAACAAAACAAAACGAATTTTTTAGACTGTATCATAATTTTATTGATAGCTGACTTTTTGAAGATAAGCAAAATTAGAAATGTGAAAGGCAGCAGAGCAACTCTTCACTAGTTCTGTCTTGCTTCCACTGCTTCTAGTAAAAATACCTTTGGTGTTCGAACTGTAAAACAATTTTTTTTTTTGAAACGCTGTGAAACATTAATTCAGAGTTCTGTAGGAGTGATCTGACATCGCCTTTTCTTACAAACCAAGGTTTTCCCTACTTCGATCGTTAGTATAACCCTGACAAAGCACTAAAATGATGTCCAATTGAACATTTTTAATACTAAAACAGCGCAGTTTCAACTACGAGTATTTACACTTTACACCACAGTACTTTTATGTTGCAAGAGACGACCCGCATTATAACTTATGTACCCAAGCATCAGCATCTAGATGTAATTGCAGTTAATGAGTAATAATTGCAATTAAAAAATACTTTAATGCAGTGGTAGTCTACAGCTTCTGCCTTTATTGTTTCCAAATTACTGTTTATATTTAAACCTTCCTTGGCAGTCACTTAAATGACGTGAAAATGGTATTAGTTATTGGTATTACTGTTATTATAATATCATTGATATAATAATAATAATAATAATAATAATAATAATAATAATGGTATTAGTTATTGGTATTACTGTTATTATAATATCATTGATATAATAATAATAATAATAATAATAATAATAATAATAATAAACAAAAAAATCTAACGTTTTTTTTTCGATCACTCTTCAACGACTCAGAAATCAGCTCTTTTTTTTGCCGTCGCTAAAAATCATTTGCAGTCTTACTCCGTTGTTCCACAGTTTGGGTATACGCCCTAAGCTTTTCAGTCACAGAAAACAGACTTCCTTGATAATGTCATCTTACTGACCGTTTAAAACAATCATTTATCCATCATTCTCACAGTTTTCGTAAAACCTCTATTATATGCGTCCCTTCTAACAGTTATTTAAGCAGTATCAGGAAACTGAAATGGTAATGCGTAAAAAAAAGTGCACAGAAAAACTTTTTCAAAAAGTCCTACCGCTGAAAACCTCCAAGCCAGTCGTTGATACCACGTCGCCACATTGCTAAAACCCGTTGTAGCCGGAGGAGATACCTCAGCTCCAGCAGAAAAATTTGTTGTTTCCAAAAACACTAAAAATTAAAACCATATTTCAATTGTGAGTCGCTTTTCCGTTAATTACGAAACATTTCTATATAAATAAATAAATTAATAAATATATATACATATTTATTAATTAATTAATTTATTTATTTGTTGACTTATTAATCTAAATCCGTACTTATAAAAGAAAAATATAAATAAATACTCTTTTTCCAGATACCAATTCAAGAGCTTGAATATGACAAGTAGACTTTCGTTACCAGCTTACCTGACGGTAAAGTAAAGCACAGTGCCAATAATTGTCTATGCAGCCGCATTTTTGAACTGTTTGACTGAATCCAATGTCAGTTCTGTGGTATAACGCAGACCGTTGCAGTTTTGAATGCTTCTTATTGCCAGTTTTGGAGAACGACGGCAAATTGACAAGACCTCCCCCTGCTAACAAATGTAATCTTTTCGTAATTATAAATTCTTTACACTCATCTAGGGTGCATAACTTTGTTCCTCATTTCCCTGACTTACCTTTTGTAACTAAATGTTATAAAACTCATTTTAGAAAATTAAACTAAACAAACAGATTTCTATTTGTTGAAAAAGTAGCAAAAAAAATGACCTTCAGGAGGCGAGAAATGCAACGGCAAAAGCAGCTGGTTATTCAAAAGCAGAGTAAAATCCAAGAAAAACAAAAAAACTAACGAAAGAAATCATAAGAAGAACGCATAATGTAGTAGTAAATGGTAATTTCGTTTATAAATTGTAAAAATTCTGTGCAGTTTTTCAGACCATTATACGATAGTGCCGTTACTGACGATAACAATACAAGACCAATAATCACTGTAACAAATTTTGGAAAGATGTCTTGGTTGCATTTTAAATCTGAATCTATTAAGCATAATTCTTGTCAACTATTCTCTACTTTTAAAAATTATAAATTTTTATGCAGTTTTAAATAAAAATGGCGGTTGAAGTTACCAAGTCATTGCAACCCTACCAATTATAGGAATAAGGTTGATATATTTATTGGGTAATTTATGTATTTTTGTAACGAAACTGGGGCAGTTACTTAATTGAAAAACAACGTAAAAAATTTGAAAAAAAAAACTTTTGGATATGTAAAGGTCCATGAACTGAAGCTTGGAACAAACCAAAATGCGTAGTGATCCGTAAACCAGAAGGATATAAAAAGATCAAGTTGAGCCATTTCCTGAGACCTACGCTAGACCAATAAGATTTTCAAAATGTCACTGGTTTTCGCTATTCAGTCAAGAAATTTTCAGTAAATTCACTGTTTACAGTGGTTTTTGCGCTGTATAGTGCAAGAAAAAATATCTCTAAACTTTTAAAAAATAAACAAACTTTAGCCGATCGTACGTAAATATTAAAACAATTTACTTTTATTTGTTTTGCAACAGTACAAACCTTCTTTTACTTTCATATTACAAGAGAA